CCAGTGGTCAGTTTTGTCTGTCCTGTCTGCTCTGGCTCAAGAGCCTCTGTCTGGGTGTCACATTCCAGGGTAGATGGAGGTTGCCTCTGCTCAGCCCTTCAGAAAACCTGCCCTTCACAGTGGACTTCAGTTCCTAGGGAGCCCGACATTCTCAGTTCTTTTTGTTTTGTTTTTTGTTGTTTGTTTGTTTGTTTGTTTTTGTTTTTTGTTTTTTCAAGATAGGGTTTTTCTGTGTAGTTTTGGAGCCTATCCTGGCATTCGTTCTGTAGACCAGGCTGGCATTGAACTCACAGAGATCCGCCTGCCTCTGCCTCCCAAGTGCTGGGATCAAAGGCATGAGCCACCAACGCCTGGCTTATTCTCAGTTCTTTTAGAAATCAACGATTAATGTCTTGCAGCTATGAGGAATGTACAACCAAGGTTTGGCCTTCTCTTCTGCCACCTTGGCCTTGTGCTTAGCTTCCTCATACACTCTTGAGAGAACAGCATACAGAAATCTAAATGTTACAGTTTCTTAGCTTTTAAAAATTGTAGCAGCACATACAAAAGGTGTCTGCTGGAAAAGCATGGTAAGTCACTATCCTCCGGCCACACCATGATGGCTCATGTGCTACCCTCACTGCCCGGGCAGGCACAGGTCCAGAGCCTTCCCACAGGCTGCTGTGTGGGTGAATCAGCACTTCCTATCCCGCCCTCACCTTGCTGACTCCCGGGGAAGGCTGGTACACTCCATCCCCTCCCCTTTCCTTGGAGCTGTGATTCACTCAGGTCAGGACCCAGTTTGAGCTGAGTCAGTGGGTGGGATCCACAGGAAGGATGCAAGAATTAGCCTGCCTTCACTGCCTGAGCTGGCTGGCTTAGCCTGACTCCAGCCCATCCTGGGTCCAGGAGCATAGTGTAACACATGCATCTACCTTTGCTGGGCTTTGCTGCATGCACTGGCCCCTGTTGTCAGCCTTCTTGGTAGGATCTGCAGTATGCATTTACATTAGATGCTTGCTAGATGTTTGCTTTTTTGAGACTAAATAAATAGGAGTTTGACCTTGTATATCTGAAAGCCTGATTTATATGCTATTAGTCATTGAGATATTTAGATAATTGTGTTACTGTTTCAGGTCACATGTTATGATTTTCAAAACTTTACTTTTGTTAGGGTAATGGTTTGGTTAGTTTTTTTTTTTTTCCTGTTTTTGTTTTTGTTGTTTCAAGACATGGTTTTTCTGTGTAACAGGCCTGGCTCTCCTAGAAACTCACTCTGTAGACTAGGCTGGCCTCGACATCACAGAGATCTGCTGCCTCTGTCTCCTGAGTGTTGGGATTAAAGGCATGTGCAACCATGCCTGGCTCTTGGCTAGGTTTTTTGACAGGTTCTCATACAGTCCAGGCTGGCCTTGAATTCACTATGTGCCTGAGGCATTGAACTTCTGATTCTTTCTGCCTTCCAAATACTGGGACTACACTGCATGAGCCACCACATCTAGTTTTGTTTTGTTTTGTTTTGTTTTGTTTTGAAACAGGGTCTTGTTAGATAGTTTAGGCTGGCTTCCAACTTGTGATCTTCTAAACACACACACACACACACACACACACACACACACACACACACACACACACACACTGGATATGCCAACATACTCAGCTTTAGACTTTTCACACTTTGAGTTGCTTTCACACTATTTGGAGTAATGGTACATTCTAAAAGGCGTGTGTGTTCAGAATCTTCTAGTTTCCAAAAGTTGCTCTTGAGTTGACCTGGGCTTAACCACTGAGATACTGGGGTGGGCAATCTCTCTTTAAATCTGTTCTTATAGAGGGGCTTGCTATACTCACCGACTAAGAGAATCCCCTGGCAGGTGTCAATATTGATTGGACTTTCTCCACAAAGGGCTGTGTCTGTTAAGTCAGTCAATTGGAGGTATATTTTCATTGGTCTCTTTGTTTTCTAGATTATTTTATTGAACTCGGTGTTTAGGGTGCTGGACTGGGTTTTCTGCTAAGAAGGTCAGAAGGTGAACTAACTTAGCTTACAGAGGGCACTCTTTCTTTTTTGTTTTTTGGTTTTTTGTTTTGATTTTTGCTTTTTGAGATAGGGTTTTCTGTGTAGCCCAGGCTGTCCTGGAACTCAATCTATAGACCAAACTGACCTTGAACTCAGAGATCCACCTGATTCTGTCTCCCAAGTGCTACAATTAAAGATGTATGCCACTATGCCAGGTTTGCCACTTAAAAAAAAAAAAAGTGTGTGTGTGTGTGTGTGTGTGTGTTCATGTGTGCACAGGGGACACTTTTTTTTTAAGATTTGCTTTTATTTATCTGTGTATTTATCTGTGCCTGTGTTTGTGTGCACTATGTGTGTGCAAGTGCCTACAAAGACCAGAAGTCGCTGTATCCTCTGGAACTGGAGTTAAACCAGTTGTGAGCCACCTGATACAGGTCCCAGGAACCAAACCTAGTTTCTGTGGAAGAGCAATAAATGCTCTTAACCATGGATGCCTTTGTTCCTGGAAGTGCTAGCCACATGACCTTCCTGATAGGGTCAACTTAAAATACTTTTCACTTCCTGTGGAACTTGCTGTGTCATTGGGCTGCAGACACCCTTTGGTCTTGCAGATGTCAACCATGCTTCCCAACATTGTAGCCATTGCCACTGCATCTTAACTCTAAAGTGCAGTGACCTGGAGAAGGAACCTGTGTGTTGGTGGCCAAGGCAGAAAGGCCAGGAAAGCCCGAGGAAGAAAGTACAAGCAGATTCTCAGCGCAAAGGAAGATGCCAGAGTTATTTTACCAAGTTCCCACCAACAGTGTCGTTTGTAATGCTTCCATAACTCCATAAAAATTAGTCAGACCTGGTGGCACAGGCCCTTAGTCCCGGCAATCAAGAAGCAGAGGATAGATGGATCTCTGTGAGTTCGAGGCCAGCCTGGTCTACATAGCAAACTGCAGGTCAACCAAGGCTGCATGGTAAAACCCATCTCAAAAATATCTCTATGTTCTTATGTCTTGTGTATGTGTACTATATTTTCATTAGCCATTCATGTGTAGATGGACATATAGGCTGGCTCCATTTCCTAGCCATGTGACTGGATCAGCAGTGACTGCCAGCAGTGTGCAAGTTTCTCTGCAGTAGGATGTAAATCCTTGGGGTGTGGTCCAGCTGGGTCATACAGTAGTTCTGTTTTTAGATTTTTGAGAACCCTCTGTATTGATTCTCATAGTGAATTTATACTCCCACCTACAGAAGATAAAGGGCCTTCTTTCTCTATATCCTTGCCAGCATTTGTTGTCTTTTTTGGGGGGGAGGGAGGGATGACTGCTAGTCTGACTAGGCTGAGGTAGACTCTCAATATAGTTTTAATTTTCATTCTCTTGATGGCTTAGGCTATTGAACATGTCTAAAAATGTCTATTGGCTATTTGTATTTATTCATGGGTGATCTCTGTAAAGTTACATAGCTCTTTTTCTTTTTTTCTTTTTTTTTTTTTTTTTTTTTTTTTTTTTTGGTTTTTCAAGATAGGGTTTCTCTGTGGCTTTGGAGGCTGTCCTGGAACTAGCTCTTGTAGACCAGGCTGGTCTCGAACTCACAATGATCCACCTGCCTTTGCCTCCTGAGTGCTGGGATTAAAGGCATGCGCAACTACCCGCCCAGCATAGCTCATTTTTTGATTGGGTAGATTGTTTGGTTTAAGAGTTTTGGATAGGTTTTTTGTCTGTTTGTTTTGGGTCTATTGGTTTGGTTTTTTGGGACAAGGTCTCACTCTGTAGCCTTGACTGACCTGGAACTTACTATGTAGACCACACTGACCTCAAACTCATAGAGATCCACCTGCTGCTGCCTCTGGAGTGCTGGGATTAAAAGCCCAGTTTGTTTAGGTTTTGGAGTTAGTTTTCTAGCTGTTAATCCTGTCAGTTGTATAGCTTTGATCATCTCAAATTCTGTAGACTTTCTACACCCGATTATCTTCTTCCTTTGCTGAACAGATTTCCTGAGGTCCCATATGTCAATTGTTGACTAGAATCCTGTTCAAGTTTTTACCTATCCTATATCTTAAAATGTTTTCCTCTCAGTTTCAAAGTTTTAGATCTTACATTAAGGTCTTGTATCTACTTGGGCTTATTCTCATGCAGGGAGAGAGAAAACGATCTAGTTTCATTCTTCTGTAAGTGGATATCTAGTTTTCCCAGCAGCATTTGTTAAAGAGGATGTCTTTCCTCCAATATATATTTTGTCATCTTTGTCAAGAATCAGTGGGGTTATGTTTGTTTCTTACATTCTGTCCCATTGATCTACATATCTGTTTTTGTGTCCATGTCATGTCATGTTACTACAGCTCTGTAACATAATTTGGAAACAGGTATGGCGATACCTCTGGCATTATTATTGTGGGAATGGGTTATATTTGCATGTCTAGAGGCCAGAAGACACTGGTTGTCCTACTCTATCACTCTCCATATTTGAGACAGATTCTTACTCAACCTGGGCTACCAAGTCCTAGTGATCATCTGTCCTTGTTCCCCCGCCACACACACACACACACACACACACACACACACACACACACTAGGGCACTAGGGTTACATGTGTCTGGCTTTTTGCTTGCTGGGGATTCAGACCCAGGTCCTTCTGCTTGTCCTGCAGACACTCTTACCCACTGAGCCATTTCCCTAGGCCCAGTACACCCTTATTTGTTTATCTGAGGTATTTTGTGTTTTCAGATGCAATTTAATATTATTTTTTTCTATTTCTGTAAAAAGAAACAGAAATGGAATTTTGATGAGATTGTATCAAATCTGTAGATTGCTTTTGGTAAGACAGCCATTTCACACTGTTAATTCTTCCAATCTGTGAGGAGAGGGCTGCCTTTCCACTTTGGAGCTGTCGGGCACTTTTCAGGTCACTAACTGCTGCTCTGTGTTTTATTTCCCTAGAAGACCTCCCCTGCCTCAGAATGGGACCCTGGCTCCTACCCTGATTCCTGTGATCCAGCCAGCTTCCTGAGGGGATGCCTGGGAACCAGCAGAAATCAGAGTCTTTGGAGATGGACTCTGACATGTCGCCAAGCTGCAGGCTCAGTGACTTGAGCAGAGGTGGCAGTCTGGAGAGCCGGAGCAGCAGCTCTCGCTCCAGAAGCTTCACTCTGGTGAGTGGTTGTACGAGTTCTAATTGGTCTTAATAATAAAAACCGAGTCAGATAATAGGGGTAAATGCTGAAAGACAGAGAGACAAAGGAGCAAGCCACAGCCACACCTTACCTCCCCAACTTCCTAGACAAAAAGAAGCAAGCTTTCTCCTCCCACCTTATATCCCTCTCTGCCCAGCTGTATCACTTCCTGTCTCTCCAGACCTCCAGACCTCTATGGTTAACTAGTGGCTAGCTCTGCTCTCTGGTCTTCTCGCAAGCTTTATTTGTTAGAGCACAAAAAAAGATATCACCACAGTGAGTGGTCACTTTCTTTAAAACTTTAGATGCTCTGGTTGGTTGATTTGGCCCCAGCCCTTCACCCCCATGAAGAGCAGCTTACAAAGCCCTGTTGGATGTCTCGGTTTTAATCCTGTTAAATTTTGCACATGGCAGTGGAGTGAATATCGGGTCACAGGTAGTAACTTAGGGCAGCTTAGCTCCCAAAAGGACAAGGACTGTTCCTGAAGTCACTGACCACCTAGGCCGGCGGCCATAGGAGCCATCGGGCAGGATAAAAACAGCTCACTGTCAAACTCCAAGGCCTTTACAAAGCCCAGTCTTTCTGATCCAGACCCTTACACGGCTCCTACCAACCTGAAAGCGTTAGGTCTTTTGAAGGATTTGGTTTTTTACAAATACTCCCTTCCTAGTGCTCCCAATCCTGGGATGGTACACCACCTGATGTCAACATCCTGACTTGGGTGTTGCAGTTGTCATGCCATTTCATAGAATGTCCCATGTCCACTCCAGGAGCACAAACCACACTCAGAGTCTTGAGTTCCTATTATTCCCCCTCCCCATGGTTTCTCTGTGTAGCTTTGGCTGTCCTGGAGCTCTCTTGAGTTCTTATTCTTAAGGTGTTCTTGCAGCCTAAACTACCCAAGGGCACATCAGAACATCCTCTAGAAAACAATGGGATTTTGGGTTGTGGGAAAGAAGAGTTGAATCCTAAGGAACTTAACCCTAATATGTGCCCACTCTTTAAGGGTGGGGGGTACCCCACAATACTCCCTAATCATTGTTATCTATGACTTGGGCAAAAACAGAGGTCCAGATTCTTTGGCAAGGTTTTAAGACCTAATACACAGTGAATTCTTGTGAATCCCGCCCCCACCCAAGCTCTCAAAGCTAATGAACTTTATGTCCCAGAGTCACAGAACGTCTGGATTAGATAGCATTGAGATACTCACTTACATACCCCTTAGTCACAAAGTGTGGAGTGTGGGACCGCTCTTCTCATGGTGGAGTTAGGCACAAGTACACACAATGTCCTAGGATTTTGATAAACCATTTGCTCTGGGATTTCAAGAGGGAAAAAAAAGATATGCAGACTCGGTAAGTGACCCAGGGCTGGCTTCTTCCCTGCACCAGACCAGAAACTATTTGAAGACATAGCCAAGGATCTGTTTAATCCATTAGACATTAGTAAATGCCCGCTGTGTACAAGAACTGAATAAAATGTGGTTTTATTCAAGATCACATTAGAGATGTGTATAGAGCTAGGGCGGTGTGGCACAGCTTATAAGTCTGTCTGAACATCAGACAGAAGAGAGATCAAGGGCTCTATTGCCATTTTAAAGAAGTTTAAAGCCATCGAGCCCAGCTGCAAGCCTTTGAAGCCATTCTTCTTGAGTTCTATAATCAAAACTGTACACAGACCTCATTCTCTGCTGATTTGTTTGTGTCCCTTTCTTAACTTCAGAAGTACAGGTTGAAGTTTAGCCACAGGAAAAAAAAAAGTTACAACAGTGTCTAGTTAGGAATAAGCATAATTAAGCCCTTGTTCTGCTGTAAGGAAGTGCCCTGTGCACTTACGGTGGCTCTGCCCAGGCTACCAGAGACATCACAACATTTAAGATGAGAGCCTTCTCCCTGCCTTTATTCAGTTTGGGCATCAGCTTACATAATTAAATCAGTAAAGCATTGCTCAGATGTCAGGCAGGTCTTTAGTGTCTTTGAGGACATGTGATCTGGCTGGAGAGATGGCTCAGCAATCAAGAACACTGGCTGCTCTTCCAGAGGACCGGGGTTCATTCCCAGTACCCACATGGCTGCTCACAGCTGTCTGTAACTCCAGTTCTAGGGGATCCGATGCTCTCTTCTGACCTGCTAGGCACTAGGCATATGGTATACCTATATACATGCTGGGAAAACACCCATACATATAGAATAAAAACAAATCTTGGCGAGAAAAAAAAACAGAATACATGATCATTAAATCAGACTCCATCAAGACAAAATATCCTTTCTTGCTACCTAGGAGATGAGTAGTGAAGAGTCCTGGTCCAGGTCTCCTTTCAAAATATCTGTTTAGTCCCCTCTGCTTGCCTGCCTGCCTGTGAATGAGTCTTGCTATGCAGTCCAGTCTGGCATAGAAATAATTGCATGTAGCCCAGGCTACCCTCAAACTTTCGAGGATCCTCCTACTTCAGCCCAAGTGCTGAAATCCCAGGCATGTGCCACAACACCAAGCTTTGGTCGTCCTCACTTTTATAATGTATATTTTCTTTCCTTTGGCTTTCTGGTTCCTTTGTGCATTCTTCAGATTGTAATTCAACTAAATGGTTTCCTGGAAAAACAAAAACAAAAGGAAAAAGAAAGGGCTAACTTAATTATAGGAGTAAAAGTGAGTAGTTTTTAAGATAGAGGTTATTTTATTTAGAGCATCTATTTAAGTTTCTCAGGTCTTTAGTTCAACCAATGGTTTGGATTTTTTCCTTTCTCTAGAATCCTTGCCCTGCCCTCCCACCCCAAATACTCCTATTCCTAGTCTGTTCTAACATAGATAGATCTGTACTAGTGACTATTTGGATAACTGTCATTCATTTCAAGTTTGTCATAGGCTGGGAACTGACTAAGTGAGTAAAGTGCTTGCTGTCCAAATGTCAGGACCTGAGGTCAAATCCCTAGAATCCACGTAAAGCCAAGTGCAGACGTGTGCATCAGCATTCTCAATGTTCCTGCTGTGTGATGCAAGGCAGAGACAGGCAAATCCTTGGAAGTCAGGGGCCAGCTAGCCTGGAATATGCAGCAGTAAACAAGAGAAGGAGAGGACTGACATCCAAGGTTGTCTTCTCATCTCCAACCTCTATACGCCTACCATGGCACATGCATGCCTGCACTAACACTTGCACACCCATACACACACACACACACACACACACACACACACACACACCAAAGAAAAGTTTGTCACCTACCTTTTAAAGAATTAGCGTATATAGGGGTTGGGCATGGTGGCACATGCCTTTAGTCCCAGCATTTGGGAGTCAGAGTCAGGTGAATCTCTGTGAGTTTGAGGCTAGCCTGGTCTACATAGTAACCAGGACATATTAATTGTACTGAGTGATGGGTTTTATTGTGACATCTCCCACTGTCACCTTCCTTTTATCTGGATGCTCCCCTCTGTTTGAATGAGACTAGAGAGCTCTTTTCTACTATTTCACAGGAGTGAATGCTGATTGATGCCAAGGCTTCCTCCTCTTCTTCCTCTTCCTCTTCCTCCTTCCCTTCCTCCTCCATTTTTTACTTTTTTGAGACAGGTTTTCTCTGTATAACAGCCCTGGATGTCCTGGAACTCACTTTGTAGACCAGGTTGGCCTTGAACTCAACAGAAATCCTCCTGCCTCTGCCTCCCTAGTGCTAGGATTAAAGGCGTGCACCACCACTGCCCAGCTGAAGGCTCTATACTTTGTGGGGGGCTTGTTCAGTGCACATTCTAATTATCCAGTATCCTTAGCGCTTGGAGTTCTCTGATTTGAAAATTAGTTCATAAATTATTTCTTTAAAAACCATAGCATACACTTAGGGGAGAGATTGCTTTACATGTCTTGAGACAGAGTTTCCCCCAGAGACTTGTAAACCTTTCCTGAAGTTGGCATACTGGGCTTAGCATACATGAGAGATGGTTTTCTAGACAGATGTTTTTAAAAGATTATTGGTACATTAAAAATAACATTTATAGAAAGGACTTAATTAAAATATTCTCCTGTCAGTATACAACCTTCCTGATTAATGCAGACAAAATGACTTTTTTATAGCTCACTCTGTCCCCAAAACTAGGACATGTATATTTGTCTTCATTTCCTAAGTGATTATCACAAACCACTTCCTAACCAGCCACTCCACAGGGAGCCATTGTGGAGCCTTACTGCCCCCCTTCATGTGGGTGTCTTTTAAAAATTGAAATGTAACTCGCATTCTTTAAAGGTCACTCAAAGTGTGCCACTTAACCATGTTTACTGTGTTTACAGGCCCGTGCAATCATCACCTACCATTTTTAGAACATTTTTATCCTACCCCGGTGGAAAATCTACTCAAAACCATCTATATATTCAGTTCAATGCAGTCCCGGGCAAAGCACCAATGACGCTGCTCATAGAACTTAAAAAACAATCCAAATGCATATGAAAAAACAACGAAAAACACCAAATATCCAGAGCTTTCTTGAGAATAAACAGAAGCTGTTAAGTTGCCTGTCTCCAGAGTATACCACAGCACTGAGTGTCTGGAGAGGCAACTCAGGGATTAAGAGCGCTGACTGCTTTTGCAGAGGGTTCACGTTTGGTTTCAGCGCCTATGTGATAGCTCACAACCACCTGTAACTCTAGTTCAGATATAACACCCTTTTCTGCCATCCGTAGGCACTGTATGCAGGTGGTGCACAGATACACATGCAGGCAAACGTACCCATACACATTATTTTTAAAGTCTACTACAGAGTTATAATCAAACAGCCTAGTAGAGGCTGGGGATATAGCTCAGTAACACATGGCTTCTATGTGCAAGGCCTTAGGTTTAATTGATAGCTCCATACAAACACACATACACAAATCAACATGTAATACCATGAATACAGACACACAGACCAGTGGAACACAGTGGAGAGCCTAGAATTAAACCCACACACATATGTCAGCTGACTTTCAACAAACCTGTTCCAAACACACACACACACACACACACACACACACACACACACACTGAAAAAAGAACAGGCATTCTAGTTAGTGGTACCAGGAAATTGGATGTCCACCTGCAGAAGATTGACATGAACCCAATCTCTCATTAGTTATAAAAATCAACTTGACATAATTGACAGAGTGAAGGGACAACCTACAAAGTCAGGAAAATATCTACAAATTAATCATCTGTGAAGGGGTTGATAGTAACAATACATAGGAATCAAAAGCTCAGAAAAAAAATCCAATTAAAAAATGAACAATAGTCCTAAATTGATGTATTGGAGGGGAGAGTTCAACACCATTAATCATCAGGGAAATGCAAATCAAAAACACAATGAGATAGCACCTCGCCCCAGGAAGAATGGTTATTACCAGAAAGACTAAAAACATCAATTGCTTGTGCTGGAGTAGGGAAAAGGAAGCCTTGGACTGTGTGTGTGTGTGTGTGTGTGTGTGTGTGTGTGTGTGTGTGGGTCGGGGGGGGGGGCGTGATGAGTGATGGTACGATAAAAAACAGGAGGCAGTTTAGATCTGCTATATGCCCCAGTTTTCATTATGTCAAAGAGTGTCTTTGTTTTCAAGGTAATGGTGACAGAATTCACAGTTACTAAGAAATGCAAGAGCCAGGCATGGTGTTACATGTCTCGGAACCCAAGTCTTGAGGCAGAGGCAGAGATATCGATCATGAGTTTGAGGCCAACGTGGGTAACATAGTGAATTCAAACCTGGGATACATAATGAGAGCCTGTCTCCAAATACACACACACAAAAGACATGGGAACAACCTAAGTGCCCATCATCCAATTTGTGAATAAAGAAAATGTGCTACATATGCACAATGGTATGCTACGCAGCCACAACAAAGATAAAATCCTGGCATCTGCAACAACATGGATGGAACTAGTTGCAGGTCATTGTGTTTAGTAAAATAAGCCAGGCTCAGAACACCCAATGCCACACGATCTCACTTACATACATACAGAATCTTAAAGACTTGATCTTGGGGCTGGAGAGATAGCTTAGCAGTTAAGAATACTTGGCTCCTCTTGCAGAGGATCCAAGCTCGGGTCCCAGAACCCACATAGCAGCTTACAACCATGAGTAATTCCAGTCCCAAGGGACCCAACACCTTCTTCTGGCCTCGGTGAACACAAAGACACGCACATGGTTCACAGACATACTTGCAAGCAAGACACCCAAATACATAAAGCAAACGAAAAGGAAAAACAAAACTTGATATCATGGAAGCTGCAGGCAGAATGACAGTCACCAGAAGCTGAGGAGGGTAGCAGTGGGGAGAGACTGATGGGTGCTGCTAAGTTACAGTCAGCTAGAAACATGTTGCACAGCTGATCACTGACAGCACCAGTGTGCACTGTACTTACAAAAGCTAGAAGAAAAGGTTTTGAAAGTTTGCACCATAGTGAAAAATGTTTAAAGAAATAGGTCTTTCTGGCCTAGTTTGGTATTACATGGGACCACCCCATAAATGTACACAATTTTTATGTTTTGTGTGTCAGTTAAAATAAATGGTTTCTCTGTATGTACAGAAATTACCATAGTTCTGTAACATTTCATCTCCCTTAAAGAAATCCTGAGCCCATTCTCAGTCACTTTCCATCCCTGCTCTACTCCTCGGGCCGGAACTTCTCTCTCTGAAAATATTCTCACTCTGAATATATCTTGCTGCCATACCTCTTACTGCCCAGCCTCTCCCTCAGGACCAAAAATGTCTGTCTTTTACATCCCTATCAGAGGCGGTGTTCATCATCTCCCCAGAATGGGAGGAGTAGGTAGGAACCATCTTGGCCTGGTACCAAGTGCCCCTTTTCCTGGCCCTGGTGTACGTTGCTTCCCTGCCTAGCCCCACCGTCTTTCCTCTCCCAGGTATGTGGAGTCCATGTTCACTGGGAGAAAGCTTCAAGTCTTGGAAGTTGGGCAACACACTGAACCCACAGCAGGTTTGACTTTGCCACAATCCAGGATTCCAGGCCAGGCTGATTGCAAAGAAAGCATGCCATTCACCCACCTTCACACTGGAGAGAAAGCCCTCGGGTTTAGGACCTGAGTGACCTGGGGGTCTTGTCTCTGAGCAGACTGGCCGGGGCTGATTTGTATCTCACATTGTGTAACTAGTGAAAGGAAAAGAGAACACTGAGAGAACTGAAGAACCCCCGGGTAAATTGCACAACACTCATGCAGGCATCTCTGCAAGATCTGTTGGTACTTGCAAGAATAGGATTAGAAAGTTCGAAACAGAAGGCAAGCAGAGGACTGAGTTCTAGTAGGCTTGGTCCCTTGGTGAAGTAGTGGTGAGACCCTTGGAAAGTCATGCCAAGCCTTTCTGCAGTGTCCAGGTGTGAACAGGCATGTGGGAGGCACCTTCGTCAGCCTGTTTTCTGGATACAGTCTCAGGTTAGGACTGCTTGCTTTTAGGCTGGATTAGACATGACCCATCCATTTGTTCTTTGATGTGTATGAGTGTTTACCTGCAGGTATATGTACAACACATGTGTGCCTGGTACTTGTGGAGGTCAGCAGGAGGAACCGGATCCCCTAGAACTGGAGCTACAAGCTGCTGTGAGCCACTATGTGGGTTCTGGGAATAAAAACCCAGGACCTCTGCAAGAACAAGTGCTTGCAACCACTGAGCTGTCTCTCCAGTCCACTTCTAGACCATGCTTACTTTGTCCTCTTCTTGTGGGAAATTGGAATGTGTCTTAAGCTGCAGGTCCATTTTAGGACCATGTGTTTTTTTTAATTTTTACATAATTTTATGTCATGTCTGTTTTATAGGAAAGAATGCAGGGCCTTGAGCACCCTAGGCAAGCTTTCTGTCATTGAGCTAGACCCTCAGCCAGGCTAGTGCAATTTCAGTTCTGCTCTGTAGCCAAGGAGAATGATTATACCTAACCAAGATAGACCCCAAAAGTGATGCATAGAGCTGGAGAGGTAACTCACGGTTCAAAGTGCATATTCTTCTTGTCTGGGATGGACATGTTTTCTCAGCACTCACATGGGGTAGCTCACAGCACTCACATGGGATAACTACAGCTCCAGGGCATCCAGTGTCCTCTTCTGGCCTCAATGGGCACTGCACTCATGATCATGCGTACCTCCAGTACATACATATACACATAATTAAAAATAAAAATCTTAGCCAGGCGTTGGTGGCGCACACCTTTAATCCCAGCACTCGGGAGGCAGAGGCAGGCGGATCTCTGTGAGTTCAAGGCCAGCCTGGTCTCCAGAGCGAGTGCCAGGATAGGCTCCAAAGCTACACAGAGAAACCCTGTCTCGAAAACAAACAAACAAACAAAAAGAATAAACCCTTTGTTTTCTGCAGGGATGACCTAGTTACTTCTGAGGGTGATTCCAGCCACCTCTGCCCACTGAGCATCAGCTTCACTATATTCCTGGCTGGGCTCAGTTCAGGTCACACAGTACTCAGCAGGTCGGCTATAGGCTTTCCCAGCACTGATGCAAATTGCAGCCTTGGCTCTTCTAACATCATCATCTTCCTTCTGCTTTCTTACTTCCATTTGTTGACATCACCGCTTTTCCTGTTATTTTTAGCTTTGTGATTTACGTCTGGTTAAGGAAATTAACAATGTCCCAGGCTGGAGAGATGGCTGAGCAGTTAAGAGCATTTGTTGTTCTTGCAGGGGACCTGGATTAGATTCCCAGCACCACCCACGTGGCAGCCTACAGCTCTCTGTACCTCTAGTCCCAGGAAATCCAGCACCCTCTTCTGGCCTCTGTGGGCACCAGGCACACACACAGGGCACAGACATATCTATAGGCAAAATACTCATATCATAAATATAAGATAATTAATCATTAATAAGATCCCTTATTGTTTTAGCAGCATTTCTGGAGGGAAGAGAGATAAATGGTGAGTTCAACCCAGTGTTTAATGAGAAGTCTCCCTTGGCAATATGGAGACAACAGCATGCCTGGTAGCAGAACTCCTGGAGGAGACTTCCTCTATTGTACTGACTCACTGGTAACCACAGCTAGAGCTCATGATGGGGTGAAAACCTTGGGTTTGTCAGTATCTTTTTTCCCATGCAGGTAAAATAGTGAGGGACTTACAGGTCATTTGTCAGTGGGATGACCTAAATTGGCAGGGACCTTCCAGGACACAGAGAAGTCTACCCTAGGCTAGGTATTGCCTCCTACTCTTTGTGACTCTTTCTCTTGGCTGACATCATCTCTTTGCTGACCCACTTACAGGATGATGAGAGCCTGAAGCACCTCACACACGAGGAAAAGGATGTCATCCTGTTCTTTGAGGAGACCCTCGATTCCCTGGAATATGACTTTGATGAGCCAGCCCTGTGTGACAGTGGCATTCATTGCCACTCTCCACAGTCTCTGGAAGAGAGCCCTTCCAGTCACTCTGAACCGGAAGATGTCATCGATTTAGTACAGCCAGGACCTGTGTCTGGGGAAGCTGGGAGCCTTGCAGATGTGCCTCAAGTAGCAGGTACACACAGGTCCCCATGCCTTTGACTTGGTCTGGTGGTGCTCTGTTTGCCTATGCATGTCAATATAGAAGCTTCTAGAAGGGAGAATGCCTCTTGATAGTCTTTCACAGGTAACAAAAGAGGACCAACTGAAAGGAGAGGGAGACCAAATGAGACCACATGGCTCTGTGAAGTAGTCCAACACAGAGCAGACAAGATGCAGGCCAGCACCTCCTCCATCCGCTCTGCATCACTGAACAGCATCGATGAAGAGGTATGCTTATGCCCGTTGAGTCAGTGAAAAGCTTCTTACAACTTTCTTACTTGCTGATGGGAAATGACATTAAAAAACAAATGAAGGAGACACCTAGGACTAGACAGGAGAAGAAAGAAATAAGAGAAAAGTCATTTGTGCCCCGCAGACTATAAACACCAGTGTTTGTCATAAGCTTCTGGGAGTGGAGGCATCTTTGTGAGACAAGGATCCCCAGCTGGCCTGGTGCTAGCCCAGCCTGACCGAAAACTCAGTTCCCTTGTCTCAGCCTCTCAAATGCTGGGGTTACAGTGTATGCCACCATTTCTTAACTTATGTATGTTTTCTTTTGAAACAAACTGCATTCCCAGAATTGACATCCTGCAGTCATGGATTCCATACAAAAAGAGAATGGTTGCAGCAACCCTTGAGAGAAGAGACGTTAAATTTTGCGTTTTTTTTTTCTTTTTACACTTCTGCTTTGAAGCATAGTTCCTAAAGTAATTTGAACCAGATGATCCTTTTAAAAGATTAGATCACATAATCACACCAAAGAAAATGGGCTTGGAAAGTTCAGCATGTGTGCCCAGTGATTCTCTAACCTACTATTTTTGTATCTTTTTTGTTTTTGAAATAGGGACTCTTTATGTAGTCTTGGTGGTCCTGGAACTCCCTGTGTAAACCAGGCTGGCCTTGAACTCATAGAGATCTACCTTCCTCTAGCTCCTGAGTGCTGGGATTCAAGATGGGCACTCCCATCCGCTACTTGGTGTCTCCTTTGTAAAGACCCGGATGAGGAGGTCACTGCTTGCCTTCTGTCACGTGCCCTCAGCGTGATAGAGGCTCAGAAGCATACCTTTCCAGACTGCTTTCTAACTGCCTGTTTCTGGCGCTAAATCGTCACCACCCTTCAGGTATATGGCCCTGAGAATAAAAGGACTGCCTTCTTTCTCGCCAGTCCAGGCAACAGGACCAACATTTTCATTAGGCATTGTCGTGTGTCCCACTGTGACTCTCTGAAGTTCGGTTGGCAGGAAAACCACGTGTCTATTCTTACTGGGGTGAAAACTTACAAGGTCTCTTTCTTTTTTCAGGGGCCCCATCTGCTACAAAACAGGGCTCTCCTGTTCCTGAAGGTGGGAAACAAGCCGCTGAGAATTCCCTACCTCCACCAGACTCCGGGGATCCCGAGGTGTTTTCTCTGCCGCTGCCCTCTCTGCCCTCTGCCCCACGAAAGGAGCTGATGCCCCCCTCTCCTCCAGCAGAACATCCCAAACTGTCCCGCTCCGTGCCCCCTCCTCTGGTGATTGCTCATAAAATTTCTGAGAAGTTAGCAGGAAACGAAGCCCTGTCCCCCACCTCCCCATCGAAGGAGGGCAGGCCTGGGGAATGGAGGACACCGACTTCTATAACCTCTCGAAATGGGGACCAGGTTGGCGTATGGCACCGACACACAGCCCAGCCGGCACCCAAGATCCACCGCTTCCCCAGCAACATATGCGTGACCAACAGCGCCGGCAAGGACTTCAACAAAACTATCTCCAAGGCGGCCGTCAACGTGCAGGAGCGGAAGGCCCAGGTCCTGGCCAACATCAATGGCATGTCCTTCATCGCCGCGGGCGACACGTCATCGGAAGAGCGGTGGCAGAAGGCAGAGGAGCAGAGGGGCGGCTCTGGGGACGGGGAACGCGCCCAGGGCAGGGTGGGCATGGCCGGGGAGCCCGGGGGACCGCGTGCAGGAGGCCCAGCCAGGGCGCAGCAGTCCAGGGCTGTGCAGACCGAGCAGCCACCGCTGGCCAATGGCTTCCAGAGCGTGCACGAGGCCCTGCGCAGCGAGCCCAGCCCCTTCGTTCCCACCAGCAAGACCATCACTTTCCGGCCAGACCCGGCTATAGCGGGCAAGCTGGCGCGCCAGAACGCCAGCCGCAGCCTGTACGAACCGCGACTGGACAGCCTCCAAGAGGCCCGCAAACGCACAGGCTCGCTCCCCCGGGCTGCGGGCTTCCGACCACATGGCATCACAGTGCAGTTCGCCGGCCGCGGCTCCACGGAAGAAGCACGACGAGAGGCCCTGCGCAAGCTCGGGCTGCTAAAGGAGAACTTGTGAGGGTCATAGGTGGGACTGCTGGAGTGGCTGGGTAGGCCTTGCACGCCCGCACTGGGTGTCCGGTTCTATAAGCGCAGGAGCTGGGTGGCACGAAGTGCTGCATATTGGGGAAGAAGTCTCAGCCCCATCCCCTGTGTCCAGTGCAGCATGGACTCAGAGGCCAGCAGGGGCAAGGACCAGGCCCCAGAGCTGCGCTCTTCCTTTCCTGGGATCACAGAATAACCTTTAGGACCTGTGGGCTTCCATGGCTGCAGATGACCTATGACTGAAATATGTGTAAGGACGGCCTTGGCTTGACTTGGTCTAGGGTCTCATCTGGACTTTTATCCCATGCGCAGGACTTGAAAGCCAGTGTAGCTCTGACTCTCAGGATTGACCCTTCCTCGAAAATAAAAAAACAAAAAAAGAGAAAAGAAATGCTTGTTAATTTGTTCTAGTGTCAGTGTACACTTTGAAGACTAGCGCTTGTGTGTTTGTTTTTGAAGGGTGGAAGATGATGGGTACTCTACCGATCTGGGTTTGTTTCTTGACACAATATGGTTTGCCCCATTTTCTGAACTGAAAATCTGAAATGAATCCTCTAGAGTAAAATTTAGTGTAATTTTGTGAGAGTAAAACAGGAGGCCGAGTTTGGGAAAGGTGGTAATTTTGAGAAAGCAAATCTCATGCTACCCTGTGTGTATGAGTGTGTTGTGTATAAATATGTGTACCTATGCTAACATGCACATTTATTAGTTCCTGTGTATCTACTTCCGAAGACACCATTATCTAACTACAGGATATGAGCACTTCCTTTGCTCACACACACACCTCAGCACTGTGATGGGGCACTAAGACTTCTTCCTATTATGGAAGTCAGCTAAGGACACATGAACCCCAAGTGCTTTTTCCTCAGCAGTATGTTCTGTTCCCAATTAAATTAAGATTTCCTGCTTCCAAATAAGAAAGATGGTTCCTGTTTTTACTTCAGAAGACTTTTCATTTAAAGAAAAATTAAAATCTTTGTCGCCTCTCTCGTTTTGTGTTACAAGGTAGCTAGTAGACAGAAGGATACAATCTGATTGGTTATGTTCAAGAGCAACATCTCAGGACTCACCTGAAGGAGAAAACTGTGAACTCAAGTTGTGCAGCGTGCAAGGTTTTCTTTTCTCCCAGACTTTGTCTTACAGAGTTGTGGCCACAAGTGTTATTATCAAAACTATTTAAGGCTGGAGTCTCAAACCTCTAAAAATAGATGGGGAAGGGCTGGCCTGATAGCCACACCCATAGGTCCTCGGCAGCTCTGTTTCTTTTCCAGTTGAGTATTACCGAGTCTCATACTTCAAAACGAGCTGTTGAAGGCTGTTAGAGGCCATTTCCACAGTACTATTCTTATCTTGTGAGTTACAGAAAATGAATCATTATGTTTTGTTTCTTCAGAACCACAGTCGAGCAACTCGCCCAGCTCTTGTTCTCCTGAAGTCCTCTCGAACATTTTTTAATCTTTTTTTGTTTGTTTTTGTTTTTTCCTTTTATTATTATTATTATTAATTCAAGTTAGGGAACAGGCTTGTTTCACATGTAAGTCCCCTCGAGTCCCTTCACATGGGATGGGCTCTCAAAGTCCCCCACACACAAGGGAAATAACACCAGTCCACCTCCGGAGGCTCCCTGTAGTGCAGGGGCCTCCCCATTGGCATCCATGATCAGGGGGCTGGGTCAGTCGCGCACTAGCCTCCCAGACAGTGTCTGGGGTCGATATGCTTTCCCTTTTTCAGGCCAACTGTTTCTGTGGGTTTCTCCAACCTGGTACAGACCCCTTCGATCTTCATTCCTCCCTCTTTTTCAATAAATTTCAGATTTCAGCTCAGTGTATTTCTGTGGATGTCTGTCTCTGCTTCCATCAGCCACTGGATGAGGGCTCTAGTTGCTGATGGGTCGGCGGAAAGGGTAGGAAGCCATTTTTTAATCTTAATTTAAATAAGGGCTTTAAACTTTTAAAAGTACCTTTAATTTTGTTCCTACTTATGATGGATTTGCTGACAGGAGCCAGGTTTCCCTTTGACAAAGTGAGATGCCATACACAGTGTTTAGTAATTGAAGGTCTGGATACAGCTGTTACAAATATCCTTTGTAGAGGACTTTATTGTGAATAGAATGAGTCTGACTGTATATTAATATATTCTTGTAATGACGGTTTTGAAAAACAAATTTTTATCTTACCTATAAACAACTGTATTACATTATGCACTATATTATTTGCTTTTAAATGGTTATATATTTTTCTTCTATTTATTCATGTTTTCTTTCTATTTAATCCATAATTATATTGACTGTTCCTTTAAATGTTTCTTGTGTCCAAAGCCCTAATGATTAAAGCCCCATTTTTGTGAGTGATGGCCCTTCTGTGTGTCTAAAAAGCATTATTTCCCTTGCAGTTGTTATGTGATGTGGCATTCTTAAATGACATCTAGCTCCCAGTGTTGAAAGACCGTATTTCAAAGCAAGATTGTAATGAAAAGAAAAGGTAGATCCAAAGTCCCCAGTTTCTCCTCAGGTGACATTTATAAACATCTCTTCGTTTTTTAGGAAATGCTATCATACTATGTAAAAGTCAGAAAAACAAAACAATTTCTCCTTTCCCTTACTAATGGTTCTTTACATAGAGTCTTGCAGCCACAGCCCTACCTAGCAGTCCCGAGAGGAGCAACTGCTTCCGTTCTTGCCCTCTCTCTGCTGTATCTGCTCCCTACCTAGTGTGTGGGTTCATCTTCACAAAATAGGCAGACTCTTTGCTCTTTGCTCTTCCTCACTAAGGTTACAGCCTCTTGTAATGCTGCTTGAGGAGAAAGGGAAGAGTCAGACTATAAGATGTTACCCACCAGACACGCCAAGGACCCTGCCATGCACAATGGTGACCACAGAGCCCTCAGCAATCAGGAAGCGTGCAGGCAAGCAGGGCTACAGAAGCAGATTTCTGACTGTAGAATTCTTTGCACGTACTGCTAGCGGGGAGCAGGGTAGGACCCCATTGGGGACTAGCCTTCATGAAGAGCTTGGTGGAGTTGATCAGTGAGGCCTACGGAACCATAGTAACAGTTCAGAACAAAACAAAGGCAAGTGCATTCTTCCCAAATCCTCAGGGCTTTGGCCATGGGGAATAGCATCTTTCCCAGGATTTAGTGGCAACTTTTAGTGGTAGGTGATATCAGCTCTTGAACACGTATTAAAGAGGAAGAAAGAGAAGATAAATATGACAACAATTTTCTCTTATCAAAAAATGTGTGTCTGCTACACGGCTGTTTTCCTAGCTGATACGTGTACAATGAAGGCATTGTTTCTCTCTGGCTACTTTATTGATGTGACCTGGCAAGGTTAATAAACTTAGTTTTGCCCTAAAATGTGTTCTCAAACTTCTGTCATCTAATAGTGGTGCAGTCTGGATGAGCAGCAGCCTTGCTTCTCTGGGTCCCTTGTCCTCGCCCTGGTCTCCAGCCAAGGCTGCTGGATGGAAGGAGGAAGGGGAGGATCGTGAATGTTCACCTGGAGAGGTTTCTGTTCTCTCTAAAGTGACAAGTCACCAAACAGGTTTTGTGTCTTCTCTTCACAAGGCTTTCTCCCTGTGGCTTTCAAGTATGGGAACAAGTCCCATATCCTTTTCTAATCTGCCAGCCGGACAGGCTGTGCTTTCACATACCTGAGAGCTTAAGCTGCTGTGTCCTGGGAATGTCGCAGTTCTTTGTGACTGAGTTGGAAATGGAGGCCCAGTTGGAAATTCAGTTCCACCGCTGGCCTCCCATTCACCGCCTTCTCACCAGAGTCACCTGCTTTCTCTAGGCATCAAAGTCCTGGGGGAGGGGGGGGGGGGGGGGGGGGGGTCGAGGGAGAGGATGAAAGCAGCACTGTAAATCTGCCTCTGGAGTTGCTTAGAGCCATCACATCCTTTTTAGCCTAGAAGGAATTAGGCTTTGTGGGTGACAGTTGAAGTGCTTTTAAAGGTGACTCGATTCAGAAAAGATGCAGCAAAACCGTACCCCCACAGTCCTGTTTCCTAAGACTTCTGGCTGGACACTGTGATGCAGCTCTGTGTTAGCCCCACTTGGGAGGTGGAGGCAGACAGATGAGTTCAAGGTCATCCTCAGCTACAAAGCAAGTTTGGGGTCTTCATGAGGTCCAGTCTTCAAAAAGCAACACGACTTCATAAATGTCAATCATCCCCGAGACAGCAGGCTCTACACTCCCTCCTGGTGACGGCCCTGGGAGGGGTTGGGGGTAGGCAGCCACAAACAACCCCCAGGAACAGAAACTATTTCCTTTAGTCTTCCTCCTTGTCCTCTGAACTACATGAACTTTCTGTTGTACAACTACTAAAAGAGGAAGGAGGCATAATGAGGACTTACAGAAAAGTCAGAGTGAAGCACCAGATAGTCTCCAGCCTAGAGGAAAACAGCAGCTCAGGGTGTCATGTGTCTCTTACCGGTGCCTAGTGGTCTGCCATGGGTCCTTACCCAGGCCCCGTTGCTTTAAGGTATCCTGGGATCTAGACCAAGGCAAGTTAGGAGGGGGGGGTCTTCATGTATGCTTAATATAGGTCCTCAAATCACAAGCCTGCCTCAACATCCTCAGAGCCATCCATTTCCTCACTGGGACCAAACGTGTGAGCTTCCGGAGCACTTGGAAGAGGAAACTCCAAGCTATAGACTAGCAACTCTTAGGGTCAGGGCTCCAATCCCCACTACCAGCTATGGAGGCAGGCTGTACCCTTCCTGCTGAAAATTCACAGCTGGGAGCTGAACCTAAGGGAACCTAGTTACTGTCAAACAAGTCACACTTCATAAACTCTTAACTTCAGAGTATGTGCGTGTGCAGCAAAGCTGCCAAGGGTACTAGCCAAAATTCTGGAGATACTTTCAAAGGGCGAGGCTGAATGAACAAGGAACCCTATGCCAGAGAGCTGGCTTGTGTGTCTGTGTGTGTGTGTGCAAGCACGTGTGTGGATGTCTACACTCTTTTAGAGAGACAAGGCTGACTTCAGCCCTTGGCATCTCTGATTGGTGCTCATTAGGTGAGTATATAGGCCTTGAGTGTTGCCACACACAGCTGAAGGCCTGACCTTGTTACTAATGATGCCTTTAGGTCTCTGTGGCCTTTGGGAAGGACATAAGCCCTTGGTACACCTGAAATCAGGTTGCTGTGACAGCAAGTTTTAAAGATCTCTTCAGCTTCCATCTCATTCTATTGCTCAACAGTTTCCTGGCCCATGAAACTTGTTAGACTTTGTCCATTTGTTAGTTGGTTTGTTTTCTACTTGTTTGGTGTGTGAGCATCTGAGTTTGGGGAAGATGGCCTCTGCTTTGTGAGGCAGAATGAAAAGGGCTTGTGGAGCCCAGAACACTGTATTAACTGGAGTACCTCTGGCCTATCTCTTGCCTTATATGTAAGCCCCTTGAGCCAGGTCCCCCCCACCCCCCCGCCCCAGGTTCTCCAACTTTGAGGTTTCAACCAAGGATACTCTAACTGCCCTAACTGCCGGGCTCTGCCCCCACCCTACAGAGTAAAAAGCCCAATCTCTGGACATGAAATCTCACCAATCTCCACCATGGAAAGCCCCACTCTGAAAAGTTCCACCCCTCCCCCCAAGAAACTCTGTATAAGCCCTGTATCCTGATCAGTTTGCTGCTGTTTCTCACCGGAACAGAGGCAGCCACCTTCCTGGGTTTTTCCCTCCCAATAAATCTCTCATGTGAGCTTTGTTGTGAGGTGTGACTTTGTGGTATTCCTTGGCTTCCGACTGCCAGGGTGTCTTTCCATCTGGGCTGCAATGCTTACATTATGAACTTAACCATATTCTTTTATATTCATATCTGTATGTTTTTGAAGCTTTCTGTAAGGTTGTTTTTCAGTGTACTCCTGTGTATGTGTGTCTGTGTGTGTGTGTCCGTGTGTGTGTGTGTCCGTGTGTGTGTGTGTGTGTGTGTGTGT